TGGAGACAATGTAGGTGCCAATGATGGATGACTGTGTGAAAAAGATGTGGGATATATACCTATGGAATACTACTCAGCCATAAAAAAAGATGAAACCTTGCCATTTGTGACAACATGGATGGAACTGGAGGGGATTATGTTTAGTGAAATAAGTCAAAGGAGAAAGACAATTACTATATGATTTCAATGATTTGTGGAAAATAAACAAAACAAACCTTTAGACTGACAATGGAATGGTGGTTTTCAAAGAAAAGATGGAGAAGAAAATGTAGTAGAAGGGGGAGTAGAAGGCAGCCTCCCCAGTGGCACAGTGGGTTGAGCGCAGCGCTGTGAAGATGTCCGTAGCCTCTGCAGTACGGGTTTGATTCCCAGCCGGCCAGGGAGACCTCTGGCAGACCTCTCCTGCCTCGCCTGCTGTTCCCCTCAGCATTGTCTTCAGGCCATCTGCCTGTTCTGCTCCCAGCTCTGTCTCTGGTGAATTCTCTCACCCTCCCGTGCCTCTGACTGTACCCCAGTTCTTGTATAAATAAATCTTAAAAAAAATGAAAATGAGTAGAAGGGGCCAATCTTTTGGTAGTGATTGGGTGACTAGGTGTTTAGTGGTAGGCATGGTGAGAAAACATAATCTTGGAACCAATACAGTGTTGTAAACTAATGTTACCACACACAAAAAAGTGACCAAATGAATTTAGGCTTTGAAATGATGTGACAAAGTAACTGCCCCCAAAGTAAAGTGACAGTATCATGTTACCTCCCCAGTATGGCTTTCCGGCCTACAGCTACCATTTCATTTCAGTGAATATTCATCTTATTTGGTTTCATATTAGTCAGTCTTGTATCCTCTTACATGACTTTATATCATAGTCTAGACACATGGTCCCCTGCTATACAGCTCTGAAGAAAATGGACTTGTCCCAAATGCTCAATTTTATTAGCACTAAGGTTTTCTGATTTCCATAAAGGGTTTCCCAGTTGTTCTTTTTTAAAGATTTATTTATGCATAAAAGAACTGGGGTCTAGGGCCCCCCTGAGGGTCCAGGGATTAAAGACACAGCACCATCAAGCTATCTCCAGCCAATGTGGCATGCCTTTGATACCTGGCAAAGGAGCTGACCCACATGGCACAGCAGACCTCTCCTGTCTTGCCTGCTATTCCCCTCAGTAGTGTATTTCAGTAGATCTGCCTGTTTTGGCCCCCACTCTGTCTCTGGTGAATCCTCTCTCTCTCTCTCTCTCTCTCTCTCTCTCTCTCTCTCTCTCTCTCTCTCTCATGCACACACACCGTACCTCTGGCCTACACCCCAGTTCTTGTATGCATAAATAAATTTAAAAAAAAAGTGTGTGTGATGAACGTTGGTTGTGACTATTGTTCTTAAGTTGCAGAGATAAAGCTCTCGTTCTTTTTCTTTAAATATTTATTTTTATTCATTTATGCATTCAAGAACTAGGGTATAGGCCAGAGGTGCAGGGGCGGCGGGGGGAGGGAGGGTTGTGAGAGGATTCACCAGAGACAGAGTGGGGAGCAGAACAGGTGGACTGACAAATACACTGCTAAGGGGAGCAGCTGCTGACACAGGAGAGGTCTGTGGTTAGCTCCTTGGCCGGGGATGGAACTCATGCTGCAGTGGCTGGCAAGATAGCGTTGAGACTTTAACCCCTGCGCCACCAGAGATGCCCCCCAGTTGTTCTTTTTTAGAAACTGTGTCAAATTTTAAAAATAATCACTCTTATTATGCAATTTCTCCTACGTTCTCAAAATAAGTCATCTTAAAGTAACTTTGGTCTGGTCAGTTATCTTTCAGTTCTGTGGATTATTTTTTATTTTTTTAATATTAATTTTTAAAAATTTTTTACATCTTTTTTTAAAAAAGATTTATTTATTTATTTATTTATTTATACAAGAACAGGGGTACAGGCCAGATGCGCGGGAGGGTGAGAGGATTCAACAGAGACAGACCGGGAACCAGAACAGGCAGACTGGCGAAATACACTGCTGAGGAGAGCAGCAGGCGAGACAGAAGAGGTCTGCCATGCCATGTGGGACCCTCGCTGCTGGCAGGCCAGGATCGAACTGGCGCTATAGAGGCTGCCAACAGCTTCACAGAGCAGCCCCTCAACCACCTGAGCCACCAGGTGAGGCCCACATCATTGTTCATTTTTATTTTTATTTTTTTTTATATAGGCATGTTTTATTTATTTATTTGTTTGTTTGTTTGTTTTTGTTTATACACGCACTGGGCACAGTCAGAAGCGCGGGAGGGCGAGAGAACCCACCAGAGCCAGAGCAGGGAGCAGAACAGGCAGAAGGACCGAAGAACACTGCTGAGGGGAGCAGCGGGCAGCAGGAGGGGTCTGCGCGCCATGTGGGACCCTCCTCCAGTGGCCGGGGAGCAGACGGGGATTGAACCGGTGCCACAGAGGCCGCGGGATAGCTTCGCAACCCAGCGCTCAACCGCCGCGCCACCGGGGAAGCCCCATTGTTCATTTTTAAACAATGTTTTCTTCCCCACCCCCTCAGGTGTAGTCCCCATAGTTTCCTTCACCAATGTACCCGTGCACCATTACCACAGTCCCCTGTGTTCCTTGTGGATTATTTTTTAAATTTAAACAACAGAAAATTATTTCCTCACAGTTCTGGAAGTGAGAAGTCCTAGACCCACATGTTGCCAGGGTTGTTTCAAAAGAGGGCTCTCTCCTTAGCTTGGAGGAAGACTTCACCCTTTATCTTCACTGTGTCCTAATTGCCTCAGTGCTTTGGTGGTTGTTTTTCCCTTCCCCCAGTTCTATAGTTTTTGAATATTTCCTTCCCAACTCCCTCGAGTTTTAAAACTTTTTTTTTAAAAAAAAGATTTATTTATACAAGAACCAGGGTACAGGCCAGATGCACGGGAGGGTGAGAGGATTCACCAGAGACAGAGTAGGGAACAGAACAGGCATATTGACGAAATATACTGCTGAGGGGAGCAGTGGGCGAGACAGGAGAGGTCTGCCCGCCATGTGGGTTGCTCCAAGGCTGGCAGGGATTGAACCAGTGCTGCAGAGGCTGGGGACAGCTTCACAGAGCTGCGCTCAACCACCTGCGTCACTAGGGAGGCCCTTGATATATTTTTTGAGTTAATGATCACACCTTAATTTCTCCTTTCTTTCACCATCATATTGTTTACTTTCATGGGCTGAATGTTGTCTCACTTCCTTGGTAACATGCCATTATCTTTCAAAACCAAACCTCTTCCAAGTATTAATTTCTGCTTTAATAGGAACTTCTAATCACAGGTCTGCCTGCATGGGTTTTCCTTCAATTATTACGTATTTATTGTCTACTAAGTCTCAAGCACTGTTTTACGTTTTGAAGACTCAAAAGTTATTGCACAAGGTTCTAGTCCTCAAGTTTTTTTTTTCTTTTTAAGATTTATTTATGCATGCAAGAACTGGGGTACAGGCCAGACGTGCGAGATGGTGAGAGAACTCACCAGAGACAGTGGGGACCAGAACAGGCAGATTGCCTGAAATACACTGCTGAGGGGAGCAGCGGGGGAGTCAGGTGAAGTCTGCTGCGCCATGCGGATCCGCTCCCTGGCATGCATGCCGAAGTGGCTGACGATAGCTTCGCAGTGCTGAGACCTATCCCCTTGCACCACCAGGGAGGCCACTGTAGTCTCAACTTCATCCTAGCATTTACTGAGACAAACAGCAAAAGAAATTTAAAATCACGTGCTTTCTGTATCAGTCTTTGAAACAGCAAACAGCTGAGTAGTTTTCTAAGGATTCAATGAACTGATGCTTATTTTCTATATGGTAAAGTTTGTAATATGAACCACTCAAATGAAACCACCTGATTTTCCAAAGACAGGATGAACTTGACGTTATCGAATGCGTTATCATTGGCCTTGTCTTTACAAGGACCAATGACTACCCCAGATCAGAGGATCTTCCAGAGTCAACAATTTGAGTTGATACCTTTGTCCCAGAGTTCCCAACATACGCCAACCCAGTGATTGCCCAGCTGCATTCAAATTACCGGTGTCATTTAACAGGCAGGCAGGTTATCAGGCGCCAACCCAGGGCATGTGAATCAGAATCTTTGGCGTGGAGCCTCAGGTTTTGCACATTTAACAGGCCCCCCGGGTAATGATGGGGATAAATATTTGAAAATCACAGATGTTGGCTAAACGAGATGGGAGCGCCTAGCAAATTTCCTCAAAGAAAAGGCGTGAGGAGGGGAAGGTCTTCGGGGTGTTTCTATTACGACCAAGCCTGATACTTAAGTCATTATCACCCAGGCCGCTGACGTGCCACCACCGCGGTGACAACTTTCAGGGGGCTCTTCCCGCGTTGAGACCCGCGCCATGGACGCGAGGCCAAAGCTTTCCCCACGCCCGCAGAGCGGAAACTGAGGTACAGTTTTCCGCTGCCAGCATCCAAAATGGCAGCCCCAGCGTCGCCACTACGAGAAACAAGCTCGGTGCCCCGCCTCGGCCCCCCAGGGTCTCACTGGGCTTTTGCAAGTCACCGTGGGAACCCGGGGGCGGGGGGGCAGGAGGGGAGGGTCTGCGTTCCAACGGCCACACCGCCTCCCACCCACGGCCAAGGCCCCCACGCCCCAGTGGAAGAATGCACTGGAAACGCTCGGCCTGCATACTTTCCTCGCGCCCGTCCCGCAGTGCCTCTCGCGGCCCACGCACCGCGGAGGGGTTCAGATTGCTCGTAGTGGGGGGGGAAATAGCGCCCTCGCCCCACTCATTGGCGGGCCCACGCCGTGGGGCGGGGAGACACACCCATTGGGCAGTGGGCCGTGTCAGTCTTGGGAATTCGGGAAAAGGAGGAAGAGCCCCAATCAAGTCATTGGGCTCTCGCAGCCGTCAGTCAAAGCGACATCCGGCGACAGTCCCAGTCCTGGCTCGCTGATTGGAGGAGCCTGTTCCTGGGGAGGCCGCACTTCCGAGTGCTGTGGGAGGAGGGGGCGGGGAGGGAAGCGGAGGCTGGGGCGCTCTAGGCCGGCCGGCGGTGGCGGCGGCGAGGCCGGGACTCGGGCTGAGGGCCTGCTGTAGCGGCAGCTGCGGACGCCACGCTCAGCAGCGGGCATCAGGCACATTTCTTTCCCTGACTGGAGGCTCGTGGCGTCGCGAGGCCCAGGCTGAGGTGGTGAGGGGCGGCGGGGTGGAGCTGAGGGGCTGGAGGCGGGAGCGGGCGGCCGAGTGGGGTTCGCGTCGGGGCCGGGCCCTGGGCCTGGCTGGGAGGGGCTGCGAGGCCGCGGAGGAGCCGGCCCTGGGGTGGGTTGGGCCGGGGAGGGCTGAGGACACGGAAGGCGTGGTGTTGGGCCCGGGCATGGAAGCGGGGTGGGGCCATGGGGACGGAGGGCGGGGTGGGGCTGACCGTAAGGGTGGGTCGAGGCCAGGGAAGTAGCACTTGTTCGCTGTTGCCCCAGAAGGCAGCACGCCGAGGCGCCGCGCACGGGCATGGCGACTAGGTCCCAGCCGGACTCGGGTATACGGGGCAGGGTGGGACCGGGCTCACACCAGAGACCTTAAAAGACCTTGTTTCGGTTTCTCGAACTTAATTCGAAGGTTTTAGTAATTGCGGGAGGGGAGTGTAAGCAGGAATTCTGGCCAGTTATGTTTACGCTAACCTAATAAGAGGAGTGTGTGTGTGTGTAGGTGTGTGTAGATCCTTCCCATTTAGGAAGAAGTTGATAAATGGGTCTCAGCATGTCTTGGTTTGTGAGGTTAATGGACGCTGAAAAGTAGAGACCAGAAACTGAAAGAAAGGCAGATTTACTCCCTCCCTACTTGGCTATCTGGGTTGAGAATTTGGCCTTATCCTGCTTTGGCTCAGAAGGTCATATGAATGAAAGTAAAACCTGCCTATGCAAATTCTGGGCCCAACAATCCTGCTTTGGGCCCTTGTCCTTCCTCTCAGTACCCCCCACCCCGACATCCCCGCACCCCCTTTTAATGTGAGAGTGATAGGAAAGAGAAATTAGATTTCAAAGTTGGGAAAACAAAAGGCATTCTTTTCTGTGACGTAGTGGCCTGAAAGTTCTCCCCTCCCCATGTCCTTTTACACGCTCACCCATTAATAATTTCTCCTTCTCTAGAAGGAACAAGAATTGTAGGTAGTTTTCTCCTGAGAGATGGAAAACCAAGTTTTAAGATGGGAAATGGACTACTCCCGCTAAAGATAGAAGCTGGATAGTCTGTGTGTGGCGTGGGGGGAGGGCTGGTAAATCAGGCAACAAGGTAATATTTTGGATGCCCTGGGCATTGTCTGTTTATCCAAACAAGTTACCTGGTAGGGAAGTGCGAATTTAATATCCAGTAACTGATGTCCTTTGTGAGCAGAATCTTTTCATAGTTCTAGCTCTAACAGGATTTGCTCTTTGTTTTTCTGGGAGTATAATTCTTTTTCTTCTGGGGGGGGGGGGAGAGTGCTCTTTTACTGTGTTTCCTATCTTCTGCCTTGATCATGGTGTGAAAATGATGGAATCTTATTTTGTTGCTCTTGTGACTCCCTTTCAGGTTTCTCTGGAAACCCCCCTGGTAAGTGTGGAGGAGGCGGGACACTCTGACCCAAGACAAAAGGCCTGTAGCTCCAGCCAAAGAAAATAAACCTTAGGAGGGAGAAAGAAAAAAAAAAAAAAATCCATCAGCTGTTCCTGAGAACAGCCTGCAGTGGAATCTACAGAGAGGACAACTAATGTGAGTGAGGAAGTGACTGTATGTGGACTGTGGAGACAGTAAGTCACGTGGGCCCTGAGGGCCTGAACTGGGCTAGGAACAGTAGTACTTTCAGAAGTGAGGTGTCGAAAAGGGAAAAGTGAATGTGGTCTGGAGTGTGGCCTTGGCTCCACGGGGTGTACTTTCCTCCAAGGCCATCAGGGAGCTCAGACCCTGTGTTCAGCCTGGGTGGGGTCCAGGGTTTGGCACTGAGGAGGGTGACTTGCTGGCTGGAGCAGCAGAGCAGTGGCCTTGATTTGTCTTTTGGAAGATTTAAAAACCAAAAAGCATAAACATTCTGGTCCTTCAGCAATGCTTTCTCTGAAGAAATACTTAACGGAAGGACTCCTCCAGTTCACCATTCTGCTGAGTTTGATTGGGGTGCGGGTGGACGTGGATACTTACCTGACCTCACAGCTCCCCCCGCTCCGGGAGATCATCCTGGGGCCCAGTTCTGCCTATACTCAGACCCAGTTCCACAACCTGAGGAATACCTTGGATGGCTATGGTATCCACCCCAAGAGCATAGACCTGGACAATTACTTCACTGCCCGGCGACTTCTCAGTCAGGTGCGGGCCCTGGACAGGTTCCAGGTGCCAACCACTGAGGTAAACGCCTGGCTGGTCCACCGGGATCCGGAGGGGTCTGTCTCTGGCAGCCAGCCCAGCTCAGGCCTGGCCCTCGAGAGTTCCAGTGGTCTCCAGGATGTGACAGGCCCAGACAACGGGGTGCGAGAAAGCGAAACGGAGCAGGGATTCAGTGAAGATTTGGAGGATTTGGGGGCTGTAGCCCCTCCAGTCAGTGGAGACTTAACCAAAGAGGTTAGTGGCCTCACGGAGGGTGAGAGGGAGGGGTTGAGGGTTGGGGGCGGGGAGGGTGGGCTGGTCCTGAAGGACTGTGATCACACCACTAAACCCTATAAAGAACCAGATAGATGGGGGTGGGGGGCTGTCTTAGACATTGTGCTTAAATAGAAATGGGCTGAATTGTCTGACTAGGATTGGGCGCTGGGGGCATTTTCTTGTGTTGAACCATTGACCCACCTCTAAGTGTACTGTCAGGGCAGTGGGAGGTTCCTAGAACATGCCAGTGTGTTTACTGCTTGGATTTCAACATGACTCCTGGAGGCCCAGGTGGGGGAGGGAGGCATGTTGTGATGGGCTTTGATGTGGTGTGTATCTGTTGCTAAGACACAAATACTTGGTGGACTTGCCTTGTAGCTCTCTTCCTCCCTCCCCCCGCATCAAAACACACATACATATCCTGAAGTTCTCCTCTGTGGTCAGGCGTGTTGTTGTAAGAGCCTGATAAATCAGCTCTCCTGGGTCTGAGCCAAGGGTAGATTTAGATGGTTATTCTTGGCCAGGAGAGGGCTGAGGCTCCCATTCTTTGCTGAAGGTTCACTGTAGGGAGTAGGGAGGACAGGCCTGGGAGCTAGAGGAGAAACTGCTTTCTGCCGTCCGGGTCACTGTATGTGACTGACGTACAGTTTGGGGCAGAAAACGACGCGGTTGTCTTTAATGATGTCCCTTGCCCCTAGCCTGCCACATCATGATACGGCCGCTTTGAGCTGTGTGTTTGCCACTTAGCCTTAAGGAGCTTGAAAAAAGCCCCACTATACTCTCCTGGCCAGTAGAAAAAGCGAAGGCTGGATTTCCATTGCTGGGTTTTCCAGAGCTGAGTTGGAGGGTTTGTTGGAAGATGTGGAAGTGCGTGAAAAAGTTCTACAGATGCTGCAGAACTTGCTTTCTGCCCACAGTCAGACCACGTTTTGCCTCCCTTCCTGCATTTGAGCCAATTTCTGAGCTCATTTCTCTTTAAACATTAGTGACAGTCATCGCATGTGGCTTTTTCTGGACCGGTGGTCCTCAAGGGGGGTGATCTTGTTCCCTTCTCCCAGGGGACAAAACGCTCTAGCGTTTTGGTTGCCACTTCTGGGGTGAGTGTGCATCCAGTGGGGAGACGCCAGGGATGCTGCTAAGATCCTGAAGCACAGGACAGCCTCCAAACAACAGATTGCTGTGACCCCGCATGTCAGCAGTGCTCCTTGCCCAGCTGGCGCGTACTGGACCCACTTTGAGAGTCTAGAATTACCTGAGCCTGGGAGCCATAACGTTCCTTACCTTTCATTGCCTCTTCCTTCAGATCCTTACAGTGCCCCTGGGGACGTTCCCTCTCCTTTCCTTTGAAGGGCTCCAGGCTTGGCCTGGAGGTCTGAAGAAGTGGGCCTCCAGTCTCCTCTTCCTGTTCCCAGCCACTCTGCGTCCCCAAGGGGTGGGTGTCATTGGACTGGCTCCTAGGAACCCTGCAGAGTAGCTCCAGTCCTTCTCCTGCTGAGACCTCTCCCGGGATGGGTGGGTGGGGTGGGATGCTGGGGATATAATTAGGTGGATTGAGGTGAAATGGGTTGGGATTTTGACCCTGCCTGCCTCCATATTTTGACTTTCATAATGGAGGTTATGCTTTCCCTGGCCCCAGGCCTTCACTGTTCCCTTAGGGGGCTGGGGCTGGTCAGTGTCAGGGACCCAGACTGGGTATGGGGGAAGGGAGGATTATTATGTGTCTAGAACAACATTTCCTCAGCAACTCAGGGATAAAAATACCCAGGTCCAGAGCATGTGACAGGCACTGCCGGAGCTGGTATTATCCCTGGTGGCAGTGCTCCCCCGCTGCCAGGCCTGTTCGATGGACAGCCATAGCCCAGGCCCTTGTCAAGGATAGGATTCCCCTTGAAGCTGGCACTCTGCCCAGAGCAGGGGGTGGCCGTATACAGTTCTTTCTAGGCGAGGAGCAGTCTGTGACGGAGGAGAACATACTGTCCCTGACCTGGCCATAGGTTCAAGGGGAGCAGCAGTGAGGAGGGAGTTGAAATTGTGATCCTGATTCTGGCAGGGGCTCTTTCCTGCTGTGAGATGCGGGTCAAGCAGAGAATACTTTAAACAGATTGGGGGACACATTGGTGGCCAGGACACAGCTGAGCACCTGTCTCCTCCAGGCTTGGGTCTCCCTCCTTTTGCCTGGGGCTGGGCCTGGCTGGCGAGGTGACATCCCGGTGTGGCAGACAGCTTTCCCCTTCCTCTCTGCGGGCCTGTTTCAGGATGACGAAGCCCGGCTCACAGTGTGTCTGGGTACGCTGAGCCCCATCCATGGACTGTGATCCCGGGGCTTGAGGAGGACTTGGCCCGGTCCTCCTGAGGATCGGGAAAACTCCTTCCACTCCAGGGAAGAACTTAGATTCCCAGAGAAACTGCGGGAGGAGTGTCTGCCCGGTCCTGAGTGGGCTGGGTAAGCAGGATGCGACAGGAGGGAGAGTGGCTCCCCTTCCCCCCAGGGCTCGCTCACTGCGCCACCCCGGCTGGGTGGGGCTGCCCGCCCCTGGGTGCGTCTCCTTGAGGAGACGGAGGCGGCCCGGGGATGGGCTGGTTCCTTGCGGCAGCTTCTCCAGCTGCCCTGGTGCAGAGATTGGCTCCCGGCGGCAGCTAGGTAACAGGCGGTAGGAGGGGATTGGCTCCTTCCGCATCTCCAGCGGAGACTTGGGGGAGGAGATTGGCTCTCATCGCAGCCTAGGTAACGACAGTGGGAGGGGATTGGCTCTTTCCGCAGCCCAGCTGCTGACCTGGGGGAGGGGATTGGCTCTCTGCAGCCTCAGCAGTGACCTGCGGGGTGGGAGGGGGAGGGGATTGGCTCCCTGCTGCAGCCTAGGTAACAAGTTTGGGGGGCGTGGGGAGGGGGAGAGAGGGAGGATCGGGAGGATAGGCCCAGGAGGGAGCTTGCTTTCTTCTGCAGCTTGAGCACGGAGCATGGGGTGGGAGTCCCATCTCACTGCAGCCTCTGCGGTGAGCTCAGGGTGGGGGCTGCCGGGCGCCTGAGTGGAACTGGGGTTGTGAGGTGGGAGGGGGCTGCTCAAGGATGGAGGAAGGGGGCTGGGCCGGGCCGCCCAGGCAGCAGCACGGGCGGGGCACCCTCCTCGGGCCCCCAGAGCTAGCAAGGGGCCACCCTTCCAGCCTGGTGTGCTCCCTGCAAGCCAAGAGCTCCTTGGAGCCCCCTGTCCGGCTTTCTGGCACCGGCTGCCCTGGGGCTCTTCTCGCAGACCATGACCCGCCTGGACCGCAGCTCTCACAGTGGCGGGGGCCCTGCCAAAGGGAGCCAGCCCCTTAACTCTTTGCTGGCGGGTCACCGGGTGGCCCAGCCCCCCTCTGCTCCTGGGTCCAGGGCTTCTATCCAGGTTGGTGTATGGGGAGACGAAAGGGAGAGGTACACCCGGGAGGTCTCAGGACTAGGGGGGTTGCGGTGGGTAAGGGATACCTCGCCAGGGATAGGGAGGTGGGTCTAAATCTAAGGATATTGCTTTTCTGGAAAGTGTCTGCTTTTTAACCCCTGGAGAGAAGGCAGCAGTGTAAGGTTTCTTCAGTCACGGGAGATGGTGTGTATAGGAAGCCTGCAGGACTGTTTTTTTTTTAACTGGGATTCAGTGCTGAGTTCACTGGTGGCAGTGGGGGTGGCAGTTGGTGCAGGAACTGATCAGAAGCTACCAGGGTAGGGCAGAAGGGAGGTATTTTGGTGCCTGAGGTAGCAGTTGTGACTGAGCAGTGATGGGGGCTATGTCCTTGAGTGGGCTGACTGATGGGAGTCACTGAGACCTGGGGTGTGGTAAGGAAGGGAGTGAGAGCACTAGTGTGAAGGGGACACGGTGGGGCTGGCCTTGCCTGGGCTGGGGTGCCTGGTGAGGGTCACCTGACTGCCTGAGGCTCTCCTGGCTTGGAAGCAGCTTGCTAGGATCAGCTGAGAGCAGGGATTCTGGCAGGGATGGATCTGGAGGTGAGCCTGGGCTTTAAGAGTTGTGGGTGTTCAACCTTACTTCTGCCATCAGCCAGGGAGGGGGAATAGCAGTGGGAAGGGCTGGAGTCAGCCTGTGGCTGTCATTGGTTGCATCAGGTGGTTGCAAATGCAGGGATTTTCCTCTCCAGCCCATCCCACCCCTTTATGCAAATGAAATGGCACCATAGGCTGATGCAAGCCTGGCCACCTCGGAGCAATTCTGCATGACAGTTCGCCCTTGCTTGCTATGGCCAGCTTCCTCCAGATCAACTTTTAAGGGATTCCACTCCAAAACGAAAAGTGTCTCCTTGCCCTTCCTCCTTATGTAGGGGTGGTGACCCTACCCTGTGGCTCAGGTGTCTGGTCCAGATCCTGAGCCTCTATGTATGGTGATGGTCATGCTAGTGGTTTTGGCCAGCTCTTGGGCTTTTAGGGGAGACGGTGTTTGGAAATGGATGAAAGAAACCTTGCTGCTACCAGGGGGACCTGGGCAAAAGCTGAAGTGATGTTAGGAGGGACCTCTTGAGGACAGGGTGGGGCACCAGAACCTGAGCACTAAAGTCATGGCCATCTGTCTTTCAGGACATAGATCTGATTGACATCCTTTGGCGGCAGGATATTGACCTGGGGGCTGGGCGTGAGATTTTTGATTATAGTCATCGCCAGAAGGAACAGGATGTGGATAAGGAGCTGCGAGATGGAGCGGAGCAGGAGGACACCTGGCCAGGCGAGGGTGCAGAAGCTCTGGCTCGAAACCTGCTAGTGGATGGAGAAACTGGGGAGAGCTTCCCTGCACAGGTACCCCCCTCAGCCCATTTCTGGAAAGTTCTCCTTAGAGAAGGCAGGTTGTAGGAAAGTGTGTTTTGGTAGAGATCTCTAAGTCACAGTGAGTGGGCTAAGGGAGGGCAAGTGAATAAGCAACAAGAGTCAGGGGCCAGCCCTGTACCGAAAAGGCAAAAAACCTGCCAACTCCTGTTTGAGTTAGGACTCCCGACTGTCCTCCTTCTCCCCTGGAGTTTGGGCCTCGAGACCAGCCATTAATCTGGACAGAGGGAGAGTGCAGGCCTGCAAGCAGGCAGCTTTGGTCCGCAGGCAGTGAAGGCCAGGTCAGTCAGACTTACAGTTGCTGTTGCCACAGGTGCCTGGTGGGGAGGACCAGACGGCCCTGTCCCTGGAAGAGTGTCTTAGGCTGCTGGAGGCCACCTGCCCCTTTGGGGAGAATGCTGAGGTGAGCAGGACTCCAAGGAGAGCCCACCGAGCCAGCAGGGCAGCCTGCCCACTGTATATCCCTGCACAGCTGTCTGAAGGGCAGTTCTTGTTGCTGGTCTTGCCCTGGCTGCTGGGGGTGAATGCGGCGGAAGGAAAGAGCAGACGCTCAGGTGGTAGTGTCTGGGAGCAAGGCAGGTAGTCTTTCCTCTACCCTGTTAAAACCTCTGTGTTTTGCCCTAGTTTCCAGCAGACATTTCCAGCATAACAGAAGCAGTGCCTAGTGAGAGTGAGCCCCCGGGTCTTCAAAACAACCTCTTGTCGCCTCTCCTGACGGGGACAGAGTCACCATTTGATTTGGAACAGCAGTGGCAAGATCTCATGTCCATCATGGAAATGCAGGTAGGATCATCAGAGTGCGAACAGAGCTGGTGGGGGTGGGGGGTGTGAATATCGTAGACGCTATGGTCTTTCATTTCTTGGAAGAGACAGAAACGCCTCTGCCTGACCATAGGAAAGTGGGGACAGAGAAGTAACTTGTCCTGGTGTCTCCTTGGGACACTGAGGGAGGAGGTCTGGATTAAAACCCAGGGGTCAGCCTTCTGAAGCAGGCCTGTGGGTACCTGAGGTCTCCTGGGCGTACCTTTCTTTCCTTTCCTTCGGGGAGATAGTCACTTGGTGGGGTCCTTCCAAGGTTTAGGTTCATGGAAGCTGCCACGCAGTGCTGTACGGCTGCCCTCACCTTAAACTCGGTCCTCACAATCACCTAGTCAGCCCTAGATTAAAAGAAAAGGTGAGGAAATGAATGCATAGAGATGAAGTGATATGGCTGTGGGCACTCAGCGAGCAGGGCAGTTAGGTTTCCTCACTCCAGGGCTGGGTGTGCCTGTGACTGTGGATCTGGCAGTGAGGAGGTGGTCCACATGAGGTGTTTTCTTCCTCTGCCTCCAAGATGGGGAAGTCTAGCAAACATAACCAAGAGCTGGTCAGTCCTGCCCTGGGGTGGAGTCCGCAGCAAGGATCCCATGTTTGCCAGGCCTGGTAGTATTTCTTCTTGTTCCCTGTGTGCCATTGTTGGGTGCCGGCCAGCGTGCCCCCCACAGCTGGGAGGGAGTCTGTTCCAGTGAACGGTGATGCTCTTCTCTCCTCCCAGGCCATGGAAGTGAATACATCCACGAGTGAGATCCTGTACAATGGCCCTCCTGGAGACCCACTGAGCACCAACTACAGCCTTGCCCCCAACACACCCATCAATCAGAATGTCAGCCTGCATCAGGCATCCCTGGGGGGCTGCAGCCAGGACTTTTCACTCTTCAGCCCCGAGGTGGAGAGCCTGCCTGTGGCTGGCAGCTCCTCGCTGCTCCCACTGGTCCCCAGCAATTCCACCAGCCTCAACTCTACCTTTGGTTCCACCAACCTGGCGGGGCTCTTCTTCCCACCCCAGCTCAATGGCACAGCCAATGACACCGCAGGCCCTGAGTTGCCTGACCCCCTGGGGGGTCTGTTAGACGAAGCCATGCTAGACGAGATCAGCCTGATGGACCTGGCCATTGAAGAAGGCTTCAACCCTGTGCAGGCTTCCCAGCTCGAAGAAGAGTTTGACTCTGACTCAGGCCTCTCCTTGGACTCTAGCCATAGTCCTTCCTCCCTGAGCAGCTCTGAAGGCAGCTCTTCCTCCTCCTCCTCCTCTTCCTCCTCCTCCTCTGCTTCTTCCTCGGCTTCTTCCTCCTTTTCCGAGGAAGGTGCCGTTGGCTACAGCTCTGACTCTGAGACCCTGGATCTGGAAGAGACCGAGGGTGCTGTGGGCTACCAGCCTGAGTATTCCAAGTTCTGCCGCATGAGCTACCAGGATCCCTCCCAGCTCTCCTGCCTGCCCTACTTGGAGCATGTGGGCCATAACCACACGTACAACATGGCACCCAGTGCCCTTGACTCTGCCGATTTGCCGCCACCCAGCACCCTCAAGAAAGGCAGCAAGGAGAAGCAGGCCGACTTCCTGGATAAGCAGATGAGCCGGGATGAGCATCGAGCTCGAGCCATGAAGATCCCCTTCACCAACGACAAAATCATCAACCTGCCCGTGGAGGAGTTCAACGAGCTGTTATCCAAATACCAGCTGAGCGAGGCCCAGCTGAGCCTCATCCGTGACATCCGGCGCCGGGGCAAGAACAAAATGGCGGCACAGAACTGCCGCAAGCGCAAGCTGGACACCATCCTCAACCTGGAGCGGGATGTGGAGGACCTGCAGCGTGATAAGGCCCGGCTGCTGCGGGAGAAGGTGGAGTTCCTCCGGTCCCTGCGGCAGATGAAGCAGAAGGTCCAGAGCCTGTACCAGGAGGTGTTTGGGCGGCTGCGGGATGAGAACGGGCGGCCCTACTCGCCCAGCCAGTACGCGCTCCAGTACGCCGGGGACGGCAGTGTCCTCCTCATCCCCCGCACGCTGGCCGACCAGCAGGCCCGGCGGCAGGAGAGGAAGCCCAAGGACAGGAGAAAGTGAGCCTGGGGAGCAAGGGGGGTTGATGCTCACCAAGTTGGAAACTGGAGAAGGGCTGGGCCTGGACCTGGACCTACAGCGGGGACTCTAATGCCTTCTTATCCAATAGATCTTCTCAGAGGGGATGACTACGGGTCAGTGGACAGGAGGCGGGCGCAGGCGCTGTCTGGCTCAGCTTCCCCACTGGGGGTGGTGGAAGTGGCCAGAAGGTTTGGGTGGACAGGGTCCTCACCTCTCCTTTCTTTTGAGGGGGGGGGGTTGTTGGCATTGCTGGAGGCCGACAGGGGAAAGAAGGGACTTGGGAGAGGAGAGGAAAGAAGTAGAAAGTCTCATTCCTGGAAGGAAGGAAAAAAAACCCCAAAAAATCAAAGCGGGAAGAAAATCAAAGGCCAGGACTCCAGGCAGCAGGTTTTAGGTGGGACGAGGTATTGGTGAGAGTAAACCCCACTTCACCCCAGGGCAGGGGTGGTGCACGGACAGGGTAGGTCTGGGAGGGGCTTTGTCAACTTTCTGCTCCCTGTGCTTCGGCGTCCTGGGAGGGGAGCCCCGAGAGCTTCTGTACTGATTCCAATGTAGGGGAGCAGCTGGGACCCGACGCTAGCTTGGAGGTTTAGGGTCAATGGATAAGGTGGACAGGAGAGGGTCACGAGGCCCTGTGTTGCCACAGCCCCAACACCAAGCATGTCACTCTCTACCCTGCCTCTCTGTCTCCCACTGTGCCCGGTTACCCTGAGCTGAGGCTCCTGTCTCTTACCAGCGCCTGCATGCGACCGCTGTTCTCCGCCCTCACCCTCACCCCTGCCCGGAGGTGGTCTGCGGCTGGGGTGCTGGCAGTCCCGGGCCTGCAGCCTTCCTCTTCTGGGGGCTGCTCGAGGCAGGGGGGGATGGGGAAGCCAGGCAGTACTCAGCACAACACTGGGGAGCGACCCTTCCCGCAGGCCTCCCCTGCCAACAACTGGGCTTGTCACTGGAAAACAAAACCACAAAACCCAGCAACAAAAAACTAGTCCTCTTAGACTTTCTTGCGCTTTGATTTTTTAGGGCTTGAGCCCTGTTTCACTTATAGGGTATAGAATGCTTGTGTTGAGTAAAAAGGAGATACCCCAATATTCAAAGCTGCTAAATGTTCTCTTTGCCATAAAGACTCCGTGTAACTGTGTGAACACTTGGGATTTTCTCCTCTGTCCTGAGGTCTCTGTCTACTTTCTTTTTCTGGGTTTCTTTCTAGGAGAATGAGAGGTGCATGTATCGGGGATGAGCGCACACCCTCTCCCTCCCCACAGGCGCTCACAGCCCAGCTTAGCCAGGGCTCCTGGAGGGCTGCCTGGGGAAGGCAGAGGGGAGCTCCAGGGTGGCCAGACCCTTCCAGGACCAGTGTCTTTCATTTTGAGCTGCCACTGCTGCCTCCACCTGCCCGGCTTGAGCACGGACTGCCCCAGGCTAGCAGGAGTGAGCCTCGGGAGGACACTGATCATCCCTCAACACACGGGGGACCTGAGCAGTAGGGATAGAAGGCACAAGCCTGGGAAGTGCTTTTATAAATTATTTTCCTTGTAGATTTTATTTTTAATTTATCTCTGTGACCTGCCAGGGAGAGGGGAGGGAGAGCGAGCGAGAGAGAGATGCTGTGAGCACATGACAAAATAAAATACAATGGATGATCCTTTCTCAAGTGCAATTTTTCCCTACTTTGAATGTAAATTTAGAGTAAAGGAAACAGCCCCGCTGAGGGAGAAACGGCCACTGTGCGCCTGAGGCAGGGCCCACATGGGAAGGTGGGTGTGTGTAGAGGAGGTTGACAATGGGGAACTAAGACAAAAGAAGTCTTAAATATTGTACAGAACCTTCCAGGCAGGTGTTGTGTACCTCTCTGCAGGGTTTGCCAGCTGAATCCTCTCAGGAAGGACTTAGAATCATTTTACAAAAGCCTTTCTCTCAGGGCGAGGTGGAGGTGGTGCACCTGGCCCAGCTCCTTACCGGTCTGCCTGTGACAAGCTGCGTGTTTAACCTTGACTCTGTTGTTAGTGCTCCGGTGGTCCCGCTCACAGAGGGAACAGAACTCTGGCGTGTCGTCCCATCCTGACGACACCTGAGAACTTCCCTGCCCAACACTCACCAAGCGCTGCAGCTACAGCCCGGCCGAAGAGCAGCAGGAAGCTAGACCCCAGGGGTTACGGTATTAGAGATCTTGCCAGCTGAGGGGACTAGAGTCTGTTCTCCCTCAAAAAAAAAAAAAAAATCCCCATCGCAATGCCAAGTGAAGGAAGAGCTGAACGCGCCAAGGTGCCCCCGGGTGGCCGCTGGAGTTGCGCCTGCTCGTCTCAGGGTAGGTACTGCTAGCACGCGACAGGGGCTGATGCTCACCTAGGCCCTGGGAGCCCATCATACAAGGCATAGGGCCGGAGTCAGGGTTCCCGGGATGGAGCCTGTGATCTTGAACTCCTGGTACTTCTGTGTGACCGGGCTCAGTCCTTGAACGTGCAGCTGAAGTCGTCCTAGGGGGTGGGATGGAACTCTGGACAACACTGGCTTTATTGGGTGGTTGGGAAAAATGCGTCCTAACTTTTCCAACAACCCAGTATTTGTTTCAGTTCACAATGGTCTTTGCTCCATCTCTAATTGGAAGGGGTTGGGCCATCAAGTGCTTCTCCTAATTAGAAATTGACTAATGTTTGCGAGCCAGTTTATAAAACCAAGATTCCGTGACAAAGCTAAAAAGGTCAAACAACTTTAAGAAAAAAAAAATTACGGAAAGTAAATTGTGACAAGCAAAATTCAGTTACTTAATGTTTTTCTATGCCTCTAGAAATCTGTGTACGTACTTTTGGTCATTTAGTACACAATTAGGCTCTTTTCCTGGGCAACTTAACAGATTTAAATATTTTTTTTGAGAGAAGAAGGTCCTTGATTGACCCCTCTGCTCGAGTTGCCTGTTTTTGTCTTCCCCTCCCCTGTGCCCCTTTATGGAGAGATGTATGGTGTGTCAGGGATCTTGCTGATTAGCTGGGGCTTTGGGCCAAGTTGGTCAGTGCTGCTGTGAAGTTGACCTCTTTTTGCTGCTGGCAGGTAGAGTGGGTGTCCCAGCGTCAAGGCTTTTCTGGCAGGACGATAGGAGGACTCAAGGCCTGTGAAAACTGCCGCACCTAAGACAGGAAGTGAGGCGGCTTTAGAGCTGGCAGGAAGGTGAGTGGGCCTTAGGTTTAACTAAGGACCAACCTTGAGGGTGACCTGCTTGGTGGGTGTGATGGCTTCAACCTGCTGGTGTCTTGACTTGAACAGTTGTGGGCTTTATTCAAGTTGATTTTCCAAGCATCTTACTCATGTGAGGAGACGGAATCATCCACTGTTTCAACCTCTGCCCTCCAGGGATGTCACCCATAAAGTTGGGCCTATTTCAGTATCAGTAAAAAGCCAATCTGAAAAGGGGGGGTAGTCATCTAGAGACATCAGCGTGGCCTCCATGGCTGCCGCTTCCCGCCCAGATGGAGAGCTGCAGAGCAGCGTCAGCTAGCCAGTGAGGGGGTGTATTGCATGAGCTGGTTTTCAGGCTACTCTTCATTCCTTTCACAACCCCCAGCTACCCCAGACCTTGCTGTTCTTCAGGCTTTGTGGCAAATAGCTGGAAAAACAAGTGCATGCACAAAATCACCTCAAAGCTCCCGCCTTGTCCAGTAGGCACTGATGGAGAGCAGATTTGAAAGTTCTGACTGACTGTGTAGTTGTAAGGCACTACCTGGCGAAGGAGGATGGCGAGTGTGTTTGTTTCGTCATGCCGGCCATGTTCAAACAGGTATAGACTGGTGTTTGCCTCTCTGGAAATCACTATCCCAACCAAGTGTAGAAAAGTAGGAATTCTTTATCAAAACTCGTGTGCTTGAGTATCACAAGTGGTTACGTCGTTTCCCTATCTTTGATCCGTGTGGGAAGTGAAGGGGATCCAGATGTCTGATGTGGCATTTTGTCAGTGTTCCGACGACAGTAACCCTGCTTCTCACTTTACTGCTCCCACAGAGCCTGTGGGGACTTGGGCTGTGTCTGTCAGACCTGATTTGAGTTCTAGTCTTGGTTCTGTCCAGGACTTCTCTGAAGGTTTATATCTGCCTGACTTAGTTGAGAAAATCAGAAGAGTAAGAGTATGGGGCCTTGCTAAAGAGGTGTTGGCAAAATCTGGGATGGGATCCCACATCTTCCTTTTTGAACACACAAAAATACCAACAAAGCTTAAAGCTGCTGCTTTCCCGGTTTAACTGCAGAGTGGAAATGGTTTGCATGGTATTTGTTACTTAATTTCAGCAGCTGTTTCAACCAAGGAAACAAAACCTAGTTTGCATGGGTAGAGGTAAAGACACTAAGGAGTTAAACACAAGTTTAATTAGGCTAACTTAGTTGTCTTAAACCTTTCAAGCCTCGCTAGGGGCCGAAGCAGTAACTGAAACAAAGGGCTTATGTCCCAGAGCCAGGCCCCAAAGTTGCCCAGCCTGACCCCAGGCTATTCTAACAGTAAACAGGGCAGGCTTGGTCAAAGTCAACTAGGATTTAAAAGGCCTCTCGTGGGGTAAACAGTAGCTTTGATACTATCACTAACCACCATGCAAACGGACAGGGTCAGAGGGTAGACCCAGACCAGCTATTGAGTGTTTTAACACTCGCTATTTAATATAAACAAAAATGACAGAAGCTGAATTTGTCTGCACATGCTGTAAACTTTTCAGCCCTGACTCACTTCTGACACACCACTGACCGAAACAAACACACAAACAAAAAAGCCTTAGAAATAGACTGCTCTATTTGCCCCTGCAGAGCAGGGCTAACTATGCTTTTTATCCCAGCAGGATGGTTTTACTGCAGATTTCATTTGCTTTCAATATTCAGCAATTTATTCAGTGGGAAGCTTCCAAGGCCAAGGTCGATGAAAAGTCATCCCTATAAGAGATGAGCAATCTGGACACACTGACGTAGGAAGGCAGTAACTTGGAGAGAACCTCAGTGCTGGACACATTGATGTGCAGGTTAGAGACTGGTGGTCATCCGGGGACCGTACGCTCCTCTAGCAAACCTCCATAACCACACACCAAAGGATGCCTCCACCTGAGGATTGCCTCGCTCCCTATTGCTAAAAGGTGAGATAAAACCAAGACTCCTTCCTTTACTAAGCTGAATGCTGACCTGGCAGCTCTATTTGTATTTTCAATCAAATTCGAGGAGGAAATACAGTGAGCCTGGACTTAGTTTAAGTTTTCACTGAGAATGTCCTCATGAAGTGACCCAACTTGCATATCACATTTTAGTGACCGGATTAATTAACTTGATCTCAAACAGAACCTCACTCCTTACATAGTTCAGGAACCATTGTCGTAAGAGCCAAATTTGAAATTCAGGGCTCCAGTTCCACCAAATTATTATCATTATTTTTAAAGTTTTATTATTTTTAAAAAAGATTTATTTATTTATTTATGCAAGCACTGGGTACAGTCAGAAGCGCGGGAAGGTGAGAGAATTCACCAGAGCCAGAGCAGGGAACAGAACAGGCAGACCGACGAAGTACACTGCTGAGGGGAGCAGCGGGGGGCAGGAGAGGTCTGCGCACCATGTGGGACCCTCCTCCGGTGGTGGCTGGGGAGCAGCTGGGGATCGAACTGGCGCTGCAGAGGCTGCGGGCAGCTTTGCAACCCGGTGCTTAACTGCTGCGCCACCGGGGAGGCCCCAAATTATTTTTTTTTTAAAGATTATTTATGCATACAAGAACTGGAATGTAGGCCAGAGGTGTAGGGGGTGAGAGGATTCACCAGAGGGGCTGGGGAGCAGAACAGGCAGACTGTGTACTGAAATATACTGCTGAAGGGAGCAGCGGGCGAGGCAGGAGGGGTCTGCTGTGCCATGTGGGTTGCTCCCCGGCCAGCTGGAGATCGAACTCGTGCTGCAGTGTATTTAACCCCTGTGCCACCAGGGAGGCCCCCCATTTCTACCAAATTATTTGAGTGCCAATTCCGTGTTATTTTTCCTTCCTTCCTGCTTTATAGTGCAGGTTCCCAGCATCACAGGCCAGACTATAAAGATGTGCTGAGCACACACATTTTAACAATGGCCATGCGTTAAAATTAAATCGAGCTGATTCTCAATGAGTTCTGAAATGTAAGTTATATCTGAAAATAAGTACTTAAAAACTCAACTATTAAAAATTACTTAAAGTAGGGGCCTCCACGGTGGCGCAGCAGTTGAGCGCTGGGTTGCGAAGCTGCCCAGAGCCTCTGCAGCGCCGGTTCGATCCCTGGCTGCTCCCAAGCCACCGGAAGAGGGTCCCACATGGCGCGCAGACCTCTCCTCCCCACCGCTGCTCCCCTCAGCAGTGTGCTTCAGTCCTTCTGCCTGCTCTGCTCCCCGCTCTGGCTCTGGTGAATTCTCTCACCCTCCCGCGCTTCTGACTGTACCCAGTGCTTGCATAAATAAATAAATAAATAAATCTTTTTAAAAATTAAAAAAATAGTTACTGAATTGATTTATTAAAAAAAATTACTTAAAGTTGATAGTCAAACTTTCAAATGACGTTGGAAAGCAGAAAGACAGCTTCTGCAGTCTTTCTACTCCATTTAATATACTAAGTAGAAGCAGCTCAACTGAAGAAGCAAGGTATTTGTGGGCCTCCCCTGGTGGCGCAGCGGTTGAGCACCGCACCGGTTCGTTCCCCAGCCGCCGGCAAGGGAGGGTCCCACAAACAAAAAAAAAAAGAAGCAAGGTGTTTCTTTTTCAATTGGCTCTCCAGTCTCCAATACCTCAATGATAGTACCACTCCACTGGTAAAATGCTTTTGTAATAGTAACTAAGGAAGTAGCCAATCTCTTCAACTCTGGTGATAGTCTATGATGATGTAATTTCACTGATGTCATGCAATAATTTTCCTGCTGCCCAAATACTTTTCAAAGCAGACTTAAGATCTGCTGTGACTATACTTTTTATTCTAACATTTCTGTATTGCATTTGTGGCATCAACAAAACTTACCCTTAAACCTCAAATTTAGAAATGGTTTTACAGTTCAGGGATGCCAGAAATGACAAAGTTGTAGATTTCAAAGTTAAGGCTAAAACTGAATAGGAAACCACAATGGCTATGCACCAAAAAGCTAAAGGCTGATTTCAGTGCACCTGACGGTACAAAACACTTCTGCACCTCACCCCAACTCTCTTCATTAGCTCTAGACTCTGAGCTGCTGCCAACTACAAGGACACACTTCACAGTAAGACCGCGCCATGACCTAGACCTTCAACAAACCTCAGCTCCACTTACATCTCCCCAAAACTCCTGGCTTTTTGAAAAAAGTACCTGCAAGTCAATTCACTTAAAAACACATGTTTTGCAGTAGTGAGCAGAGCACAATTCTTACACTGATTTGATCTCAGTAGAAATTCCTTTTTCTCTTTTTATAAATGACAAGAGCCTAGTCCCAAACATTAAGAAAATGGATGGCATTTTCATTCAGTGGACAAACACAGGTCAATTCCTGTGAAAAATGTGGACAAGTTGAATTTAGCTAAGGTCACAATCTACGAAATAAATACAGGTGCCAAATTATAAACCTAACTGAAAAACCATTTCTAAAAGTAATTTAGAAGTACTATCACAGGGGGGCCTCCCTGGTGGTGCAAGGGGTTAAGACGCAGCACTATGAAGCTGTCCGCAGCTACTGCAGCATGAGTTCAATCCCCTGCCAGGGAGGTGACCCACATAGCGCAGCAGACCTCTCCCATCTCGCCCCCTGCTCCCCTCAGCAGTGTATTTCAGTCATTCCACCTGTTCTGCTCCCCACTCTGTCTTTGGTGAATGCTCTCACTGCCCCCCACATCTTTGGCCTGTACCCCAGTTCTTATATGCAGTATGAAGGCAGAGCAATGTGATGAGCTACATTTTCTGTAGAATCATTAAATAATACTATTCACTAAACGCGGGGTGACCACTCAAAGATTCAGGTCAGGTATCAGATTTTCAAACCTACAGTGTTTAAGAAACAAAATCCTCTGACTATAGAAGTTGGTTCCAACAGGCTGAAACTGTAAGAGAAGGCAAGGATGGTTTCCGGCAAGACTAAATCAAGACAAATCAAAGATTATAAATCTATAGTTTTATTAAGACAAAAACTGACAATGTGATATGAAGTTTACATTTAAACAGTTTTCACAGAAATCTAACACATGCCTACAAAGATTTTACAATGGAGTTCTAGATGCAACTCTAGATGATGTCAAGAACTGATGGATCTCATGATTCAAGACAGCATTTTGGGTATTAATTCTTAGTATTAAAAAATTTTTTTTGTTTTGTATTTTAAAGTGAACCACTGCCCCAGTATGAAAGTCTAATCTCCTGAGACCAGGGCTCAACTCATTCAACTCTTGAAGTGATTCAATGGAACTTGTGCTGTCAGTGACTGAACCCTGGCACCAATGGTTTCAAAGTTCAAAAAAAGTCTCCAAGAGTTTTCCACCCTAACAACATGGGCCCTTGTCTGTCCCTACTCTCCCACCTCCTAGATCACCCTCTTCCCCTCCCCAAATACCTCAGCCAGTGGCTTGGACGGACAAGCTGGTATTTGTAACTATAATTGAAAAAGGGTCTTTGTGTCAATTTCAAGATTAGCACCTCTAAGACAGAATGCTCTGCCTGTGTATACACCCCAATAAAAGATTTCCCCTCCTCAGTTTCCATCCCCCAAATGGCAGCTTTGGTAGGTTATTAACTGGCTTAGTCCTTTGTTGGGAACAGCGTTAAGCTTAGGCAGAGAACACCTTGGCTTTTAAGTTTCAGGCATTCACAGCTTTTAAACAGTCCTCACGGTCCTCATTCATGTCGCCAATAACATTTTTGGAAAAGATAAAATATTCTGGACATAGAACCAAATCATCATTGGTTGGTTGGTCTTTTCGTTGTTTCACCATTTCCCCCAATCAGGCCCCAAATTTTAACAAAAGTGATCCTACCCATCTCCCTTCCGCCCCACCCTATCCCTCCCACCCCAAATAATACACCAGTAATAGCCAAAAACTACACACATGCTACGCTGTGAAAATGCAGAGTTAACACTATTGGGAAGAAGGCTGTGGGTTGTGGAGATGCTCTTTGAAGATCTACAGTATTTTTGTTTTTGCTCTCCCACACCCATTCTGCAAATTTTGTCCTTCATAGAAGGCCTTTTTCTCAGCCGAGTGCAGAGTGGGTTGCCTTAAAACACTTCTCCTCCTTCCCCTCCACTGGGATGGGTGTGCAAACTATACAGCATGGAACAGCTTTAAAGCACTTGGGCTGCTGTAGGGCACAATCTATACTGGCTCTTCAAAGGACATCTTCTCAAGCCACCTCTATGGTGTCAAGAAAGCAGAACTCCTTTCCTCCCCACTTGAAACCCACAGTCAGATGTGACAGGGGCTGATACTCAAGAGTGTTAATTCTTGTCATCTTTTTTGTCATCATCCTCGGAGGGGTAGGAATGCCACGTCAGCCTTTCCTCATAGAAGGATATGACAACCTGTGGGCACTTGACATTGGCTTCCTTGGCAGGGACCAGGTCAGCCTCATCAGAGTTCTTCCTGCAGAACAAAGCAGAGAGACTTTGAGACCAGGTGCTGGTGGGTCTCCTAAGTTAGATCACTTAAGGGACAGGGTTTTAAAAATATTAATTCCAGAAGAGTAGGGTAGGGAAGGGTCTAAACATCATTTACCGGCAGTTTTTAGTTAAGTGACATCTTTAGAGAGCTTTTGCTGAAAATCCCCTTTGGGTATATTTGTCAGAAGCTAGGTCGCCTAACACATCTGAACTTCTGGAAAAGGAGGGGGAGGGGAGGGATGCATGACTCAGATTCTCTGGGGGCAGACAAGAGTACCACACTCTTCCAAAGGCCGTATCTCAGCTGATAAGAACCCACTGAGACGTCCTGGCTTTGTTATCAGATTTAATACCAAGTCAGATAATAAGATTTACCCATGTGGCACAGGCCAGAGCCAATGCAGATGGGACACTTTCTTGCTGACTCACAGTTACACTGTTTAACATTACCAAATGCCATGCACACACAGATATGCCACAACTCCCAGGTGCTTTGAAATGATGAGCTTCAACACTGGGAGGCAGAAAACGAAGGAACTGTTAACAATTCTATTTTTCTGAATTTCTAAATGTTCTCAAAATTTTGAGACTCACACACACACACACACACACACACACACATCATAAAGGACTGAGGAAAAAGCTCTACCTTCAGGTCATCAAGGCAGTAGCATAGAGCAGGCCACAGACCTATGACAGGATCTCTGACAAGGCACTACCTAAAACTTCCAAACCCCAGTAACAGGTAAACTAAAACCACACCGCCTCACAGAACCCGAAAAGAGCAAGCCAGTAAGATTTGCTGATTGCAACAATATACTAAAGAGACTGGGATGGAGCAGCAGTTACTGACACAGGGGAACCTGGAAACTGCTGCCCACCCCTTGCTGACAGTTCAGTCAACAGTTTTCTCAGAGGTCAGGTACAGGCATTTTGCCAAATAAAAACATTTACTATTTTGGAAATGGACAAATCTCTCCAATTCTCCAGGAAATCACATTAAAATGAACTGAGTTTTATAATCAACATTCAATCTTAGCCTACAGAGTTACATTCAGCTATAAGCTTTACACACACCATGAGTCCACCAAAGGAGAGCAATTTTCAGCAACGTGGAGATACTATGTCACTCAGACTGGTGACAGGCAGGCAGAGAAAGTGTGTTGTAGCTGGATGAGTAACTCGGGGTGTCAATTATTTCTCCCCATATGCAACACCTTAAAAATGAACATTCCTCCTACAGGACGACAGCCATACATAAGGCAGACAAGGGTGGCTGATTCAGTAACCAAAGGAACCCCGAGGAAGGACACAGGTGTAGCTGCTTGTGATAACAGGCTCAGTGCTGCTCAGGTGGGCTTCTCTGGCCGCCTTGTACAGAGGGGAGGGGGGAATGAGTTTCTGTAAAAGTTCTGGACTGACCAAGGACAAAGCCGCTAGAATTTTGTGGCCATTAGCAAAGGCTTAGAATTATCTGCTCCTAATTTATATCTTAAGAACAATGACTGAGATCCACCTGGTTGGGGGGGGGACGACACCCAAACATTTCAACAAGCAAAAGAAAGGGAGGAAAGCCTCCTTTTAGGAAAAAAAAGTAGGGAAATTATTATCGAGATTTTGGGTTAATTACAGTTAAGATTCTCAAGACAACTGCTCTCATGAAGCAGTTTCACAGAGTATCACTACCACTGGTATTTATATTCAAAATGGAAAAAAGTAGACTTGTTCTCTGCTCAGGATAGTAAAGGGAACCTTGCTGACCCCTGCTGGCTGATCCTGGAATTAAGAATATTCACACACTGGAAGGAATCTAGCAGTCAAGGCAAAAGAGCTATAGAAATTCTAACACTGAGAAGTTAACAGCTGATCTTTCTTCAGGAAGGGGTAATAGGGAAGGGTGGCTCAATCACATTTCTTACTTTTTCCCTTCATTTACAGAAGTGAAATGTGATTCTCCCATACCCTCTCCACGTCTAGATTTTCTCCTACCACCTAAAAACATGGGCAAAGATCTAAGAACCCTAAGGGCCCCTACCTGTAACTCATGAGTCCAGGTTGGTAGTCAGGCCGAGGGTCACTATCGAAGGGCTATGCCATCTTAAAGATTTCACAACTGGGCGACTGGAATTTCGAAGGTCCAACTCTTTTCCTCTGGCATGGAACAGATGGGAAGAAGAAAACAACAACCACACAGAGCTGCTGGCAGACTCACCATTTCATCAGGAACATGAGTTCTCCACTGGAGTCTGTAGCTCCAATAATCCGCTCTGGCTCCAAACCCCGGGCAAAGCCTCGTGGTTTTTCTGACTGCAAAAATCAAATGGATGGAAGAATTTTAACTAAATGAGGCTGCTATCCCGACTGTAGTCATTCCTGTATCTTTGGCTAAAGTAATCACATGCTTTTGCCAATATTTCACCAATACCTTGGCTCCAAGACAAGCCTTTTAGGATCCTGATTATTCCATCAAGGTTTAAAATGCTTGCGTTTTCTTCATATGTAAAAAGGGAAATACATCTCAAGCAAAATACATGTTCACAACTCTTCACCCTCAAAACACAACTTATTTTAAGGTATTCAAACCTGTGTTTAAAACATCGAAAACGATCTATTTACAGGCGTGAATTCATTTGCACTTATGCCTGTCCCATAAGTGTTACACTTATTGTTCCTGACTCTCTTATTAATTAAGCATAGACTATGTGGCTTCACGAGTGAGCCCCGAACACTTTTAAGCATTAGTCTAAAATTCTGGAAGGATTCAGAGACAGTTGCTAAGATCCAAGCAGCAGCAAAACAAAAGTGCTTCAATTATTGCTTTCAGGGGCCTCCCTGGTGGTGCAAAGGGGTTAAGACGTAGCATTATGAAGCTGTCCGCAGCCACTGCAGCACCAGTTCGATCCCTGGCTGAGAAGATACCCACATGGCGCAACAGACCTCTCCTGTCTCGCCCCCTGCTCCCCTCAGCAGTGTGTTTCAGTCAGTCTGCCTGTTCTGCTCCCCACTCTGTCCCTGGTGAATCCTCTCCCCCCTTCCCATCTCTGGCCTGTACCCCAGTTCTTGTATGCATAAATAAATCAATCTTGGGGAAAAAATCTTGCATTCAGCTTCCTTGACAGCAGTAGGAATTCTGAGTAGAGTCTTACTTCTGCCTTACCTCTTCTTTCTTCTTCTTTGGTTTGCTCTCCTCTCCCTTATCTTCAGAATCAGAGTCAGCTTTGCGCTTGCCTCCCTCTGATTTATCTGTCTCATGTGCCGTTTTCTGTGACTGTAGAAACTCAGCAATGAGGTCAGGGCAGTCCAGGTTCTCTTCTGGCTCCCATGTGTTGTCCTCGCTGAAACCAGAGGGCACAGTGAGTCTCACTTTCCACTCAGAGTTAGCATAGTCGCACTAAGGAGAGGCACGGGAAGACGAGAGCTGGTGTCCTCGGGAAAAAGCAGTTGATGATGATGAGTAACTGGATGTTGTCTAAGACCAGGAACTTGGCAAAGCTTAGTGGGGTAGGGCGGGAAGGCTTTTTAAACTGAAAATTTGGAAACTTGCCTCCTTCAAAGAAAAATTACTTTTTCTAAAGCCAAACACAAAAATGTTCCTCAGAAGTCACTGTCTTGCATTATAGCATTTTGTACACAGGGCTCATTTTCTAATTAGAATATAAACCATGAAGGCCAGGCCTGAGTCAGAGCACCGAGGCCACACACATTTCTAGACTCCCGAGATCTGGCTGGTGACTGAAAGAATGCATTTCCCCGTGTCCATGAAACTTACTCAGAGAAACCTTTCCACTTTAGGAGGTACTCCACTTTGCCCTTTACCACTCGGCGGTCAAGAACTTTTTCCACCACATATTCCTCTTCCTCCTCTTCTAGCACCTCCTCTACTTTCTTCTTGTTTTGTTTTTTCCCCATAGTGCCCGCCAGCTTTCTGGTATAAAGGGTGACGCTGCTAAAATGATAAAGGAAATAAAAAGGACATTAGGGCACACTCTTCTTGGCTAGGTGAATGTTAAATGGTAAGAGAACCAGGCCATCATAGATGACTTTAGTAAGACATGCTGCTTATATTAAGTATTATCCCTGTTCATCTTCAATAGGCAATAGTTTTCCGAGTTCACAAAACAGCCCCAACTAATCACAGCAAAATTTTATTTTTGCATATCCACTTAAAACTTTTCAATCCTGGGGGCCTCTTTGGTGGCAGAAGGGATTAAGCTGCACTATGAAGCTATCTGCAGCCACTGCAGCACGAGTTTGATTCCCTGCCAGGGAACTAACCCACATGGCCCAGTAGACCTCTCCTGTGCTCCTGATGCTCCCCTCAGCAGTGTATTTCAGTCAATTTGCCTGTTCTGCTCCCCACTCTGGTGAATCCTCTCACACACACACCCCCCACCCCGCACCTCTGGCCTATAACCTAGCTCTTGTATGCATAAATAAATAAATCTTTAGGAGGGAAATAAAAACTTTTCAATCCATTCTATAAATCCTTCAAGTTCTTTAAAGGATTCTTTAAATCCTTTACTATAAAACACGGTATCAAAAATATTAAGATGAAAGAAAAGCAGTCCTCCTAGAAATAACATAATACCTAAATTTATCAACATTTAACCCTCTGATCTGTACTTTCTCCAATTTTCTGAATATTTTCCATTTCATCACAGTACTGGACTTTAATTTTTAGTGGGAAATACCTTGTCCTATTTATTAAACATCTAATTTAATTTACCCTTTTGTAGTTGTATATATATTCATTCTTCTGTATTGTTAAAACACTTTTGAGGTCTAGTGAGTCTTTGTGTAATCTGTTCTGAATGCCACCATGAATTTGCAATTTCCAAGTTTATTAACTTTTAATGATTAGTTTATTTTATAATTTATTTCTAAAGAAAGACTCGTAAAAATGCCAGAAAAACCATGAAGTTCTCTAAATTAAAGTACTGTAGTAATTTGGAAAATGAGTGAAAGGGGAAAAGGGAAGTTATCATAGACAATAGAACCTAAATTTATTATTTTGTAAAAATATATCACCAGCTGGGTTACATCTAAAGGTTTTCCCAGTGCCAAAATTCTAGCCCCAACAAATCTATTTTCTTTAGTCCTTGGTACAACTCTATGCCCACGCCCAAAGCTTTATGATTACCAATTTACGTCAGTAGGTGGCGCCATATCAATACATTGATGATAAAATTCACCCACAAAAAACTGACAAAAGTCTAAGAATTGATGGATTACAACTGCACAGAATGAGCTACAAAAAATCCAAGAGCAGGGCAGATGATCTATGAAAGAAAGTAGTTACTACTATGTTTGAATTTAATGCCAATTTATGGTTAAATTGTACCTAGCTTTAATACTTCGAACCTGGCATGTATAGAATTTTCAAAGGTCATCTATAGACTATACGAAATATAATCTTTTGTAAAAATATCGTCATCTCGACCCAGTTACTGATGTTTAGATTTACATTCCAAAATATACCCCACGCCCCAGTAAGCAAACTTAACTTACTGAAACAAGAGACATTTGTCTGGCTGCTAAAAAGTCCTAGACACTGCTAGATACTAGAGATTCAAGAGTATGAAGTGGCCCCTGCTGTCCTAAAGTTTAGTACCTGGTTTAAAAAAAGACACCTCTTCCACCAAAGGTATTTTGAACTTTCAGAGTGGCACAGAAGACTCTCTTCTGCTTTTAGGCAATACCCAAGGCCCTGGTCCTCACAGTTGAGAATGTATAGTTGCTTAAAACCTATCTACGTCCGAAGTTTATTTCTGATACTTTTCCTCCCCAAACACCAGCACCACAGGGGATCTCCGGATGGTCATCTTTACTCATTTTAAGAGCAACTGAAGAAAGCCTTGAAAGAATGCAGAAAACAGATTCCTGCTTCTCTGAGAGCTTCCTTGATTGGCTCATCCTAGCACCTACCTCCAGGTATTGGAGTCTTTCTGATAGAAATTATCAGCCAGGTTTCCCAAAATGAGTTTTTTCCTTATTTATAGTTGTTCTCTAGGGTCCTGGAAAGGGCATTTCTCACAATCAGTAGAAAAGTGAATTAAATGTGCAATCCACTCTCCCTACTGACGCTCAGATCCCACACCTTCAGAGAAGTCAAGGGCTCCCTTAAATATTATGATGGGCCAATTAGTTTCATAGTTTCCAAATGAATTACTTAAAGAGAAACTTGTCTCTCTTCTGCCATCTCTAGGCACAGTAGGGGTATCTGCAAGGAAGGCTCTCAACTTGGACTGCTTGGCAAGGAGACATCATACCACCCCTCTCAGCGTGGGACCACAAAAGAAGCTTGCCTTTAAGCCAACGCTATCTGCCACGCCCCCAAAGCATCCTAGCAACCTAGCAAATACTAATCAAAATCCTAGCAAATACCATAATCATCGAATAAAGGGTTAAAATATATAATAGAACATCACAAGATATACACAAGGTCAAAGGGTTAATAGATTAACTCAGAAATCTTAATCCCCAATAATCTGTAATCTTGACAAAATACTCCCCAAGCTGTTGTACTACCATCACCTTTGATACTGGGTAATTTTTCTAGATGTTTTTTTCCTTCCTGCAAATTATCAGTTAAGTATTTTTATAATGCTGTTTGGAAGTTGTGTGTAAGCTTTTGTTAGGTAATGATTTCACAGTAGGATCACTGTAGATTAAAGACTAAGTTTTTTGTTGGGGATCCCTAAAATGTCAATATATTTGTGGCTTCTTTCTCATAGACTAGTTTCTCCAGAAAGGGATCTGATTATTTCCTGCCTGAGGGGACTCACTGTTTAGTACACAGACAACTGGTTTTTAGTATGGTCCCTTGCCCTCAGCTCTGCATAATGTTCAAGTGCAGTTCCTCCAGTTCAACCTTCAACTCTGACATAATAACTGTAATATTCTACCAGAGTAGAAAAGAGGTAGTCTCTACTGTGTGGTATGGAAAGGATCTCCCAGTTCCAGACTATCAATCGCTTCTTGTTTTTTAAGTCCCAGTTGTTTGCACCCTTACTGCCAGAGGAGATAGCTAGTGGTCTTTCTGGAACACTGTGACATAACCTGGCTTGAACCTTCATGGCTTTTCCTAATTCCTCTCCCGCTTTTCAGCATTTTCTAGTCAGTTACTACTCTTCGCTGCTTGTCCCCTCTCCTTTTTTTTCTGTTCTTTTATTTTTTTTTTTATAGGTTTTTTTTTTTTTAATAGAGGCATGTTTTTTATTTATTTATTTATTTTGTTTGTTTGTTTGTTTTGTTTATACATGCACTGGGTACAGTCAGAAGCACGGGAGGGTGAGAGAATTCACCAGAGTCAGAGCGGGGAGCAGAGCAGGCAGAAGGACCGAAGTACACTGCTGAGGGGAGCAGCGGGCGGCAGGAGAGGTCTGCGCGCCATGTGGGACCCTCCTCTGGTGGCCGGGGAGCAGCCGGGGATCTAACCGGCGCCGCAGAGGCTGCAGGCAGCTTTGCAACCCAGCGCTCAACCGCTGCGCCACCTGGGAGGCCCTTTTTTCTGTTCTTTTAAAAAACCCTTTACCATTATTTTTTTTTTTTTTGACTTTTGGAAAGGAGTGGAACCCATGTGTTCAACCAGCCATGTTAAACTGAAAGTATTTAGTAACAGTAATATGAGCGCTTGTTATGGGCCATTCCACTTTATCCATCCATTATGTGCAATACATCCAAGTGTTACTAGTTAGAGTACGTAGAGGCAGCCAAATACAGACCTACACTCTTAAACCACCATGAGAACCTCATTTTACATGGACAAGTCTTCTCAAGGCTTATCATATGTTGCAGACAAAACCCTGGAGTTATTAAAACTTTTACCGAAATATTACCTGGTTTGTCACATTTTAAGATGCCTAAAAAAATACATTTGAATTGTACTTTGTTTATAAACCATCCTTTGAAACAATCCATTCAGATGTCATACAGAACAGAGTCAACTAAAATCCATGCCCTAAACTGACACAATTAACAAAAAACCAGAGCCTCTCAGCAAGGACATCTCCTAAGGATGGACTAAACCATCTGCCCAGAACCTGGGAATAGCTACACACCTACAGGGAACTTCCTTTCAGCCTACACAAGAATAAGGGAGCCCTCTAGAGATGCATCCTTCCTACCATTTGTCATCAGTAAATAAGAAAGTGACTGGTAATGACTTTCTTTCAGAAAAGGTTTTAGAAGGTATGGTTGTTGTAAAACCAATGATTTTTAATTGGTTACTGCAATATAAAGGTATTTGTTAATGAAATCAGCAGGCAGCAACAAAGCTTTGGTTTTTAGCATCCCAGCAGTCTTCCAGGTCTTAAACTAACATGTGCTATGTGGTGTGCATGTTTAAAGGTGAATACCTAGCAAGCAGGAGAAACTAATGACAAAAACCTGAACTGGCCTATTGTATCCCACTGCCGCCAGGAATGGTGTGAAATCTGAAGTTCATGAACTCACCATTCCTTTAAGAGGAAACAAAGATTCTCCTTACTCACCTTTCACCCTTGCACTCAGGAGTCAGAAAACAGAAAGGAGGGACAAGGCTATTTAAAGGCAGAAGGAAGTAAAATATTAGCCACCATTTTGTTTTGTTTTTGTGTGGCACTGTGAAAGGGTATGAGAAGTATCTGAGATGACAACATGGGCTTAGCTCCTGGTTGCCACCACACACATGAATTAAAAGGGCTATCCCAGGAACTTCCATACTGATTTCTTGCCAGCTGAAAGATCAAATTCCAGATGTGAAGATAAGGTAACATACAGACCTCTGAAAACAAATCAGCAGAATTTTTATGCTAAATGCCAAGATGAAGTATTTAGAATTCTTTACTAAGAAAGAGTTCACAGGAAAGCAGATCTTAGTTTGAGAACTTTCACCTATATGAGAATCAGAAACCTCTATAAAGTTTATAAACACAGACTGCCAGACCCCATCTCAGATCCAATGAA